GCAAAGCTCCTGGTTATGATCTAATAACTGCTCTATTTTTAAAAAAATTACCACCCAAAACAATAATACTTTTGTCATATATATTCAATTCTATACTCCGTCTTTCTTACATGCCATCTATTTGGAAACATGCTCAAATAATACTCATCCACAAACCAGGCAAACCTCCTGAAAACCCATCCTCCTACCGTCCCATAAGCCTTCTGTCTGTCATAGGAAAACTATTTGAAAAAATACTTCTAAAAAGAATTACAAAAATTGCCACAGTTAATAAAATTATACCTGATTTCCAATTCGGCTTCAAATCTAAACACTCCACAATCCACCAACTGCATAGAGTTGTCGATCAAATCTCATCAGCATTCGAGAGCAAACAAATCTGCATTGGTATTTTCCTAGATATTGCACAGGCTTTCGACCGAGTCTGGCACCCCGGCTTACTTTTTAAATTAAAATCCTTCTTGCCTGCTCCGTACTACCTACTAATTAAATCTTATCTAAACCAACGAACATTTGTCACAAAAATTAACGGCACCTTTTCCAACTCTCAAATAGCAACTGCTGGTGTTCCCCAAGGCAGTGACATAGCTCCTTTCCTATTTAACGTATTTACCAGCGACCTACCTCTAAACGAAAACACACTACTTGGTACGTTCGCGGATGACACTGCTATTCTTGCTACTGACAAAGATCCCATCCATGCTGCCCAAAAAATCCAAAACCACCTAAATGTTCTAAACAACTGGTTTCACGACTGGAAAATCCAAGTTAACCCATCAAAATCTTCTCAAATTACCTTCACACTTCGATCCTTAGAATGTCCCGCAACCTTTATCGGCAATGAACAAATTCCATCCTCCACGCAAACCAAATATTTGGGTTTAATTCTTGACAAACGCCTTACATGGGGTCCCCACTTAAAAAACAAGCGTAAAGCTCTCAATTCAAGACTCCACCTTCTTAGACCCTTACTCCGCTCAAAGCTCTCATTAAAAACTAAAAGAACAATATACATGGCTCTTCTAAGACCCATGTGGTACTATGGCATACAACTTTGGGGATCAGCCAAACCCTCAAATACTAGAACAATACAGGCGTTTCAGTCTATTTGTCTACGTTTAATATCTGGTGCCCCATGGTATATTACCAATGAATCACTCCATAAAGACATCTGCATTCCAACCTTAAACAGCCTTGCCAAAATCACCTATAAAAAAACACACAAAACATTCATTACTCACTCTAATCCTATAATCGCCCAACTTTCATCAAATCAAATTCCAGGTAATCCACCCAGGCGCCTGAAAAGGAACTGGTGTAGGGACCTACTTTCTCCCTAAATCGCTTCCACGGGGTGCCGCCACTGGGTGACTTCCCCCTCCTGTTTACCAAAAATCATCCCATTTACTTATTGTATCACTTGTAAATACAGATTGTAAATATATTATGTTTGTTCAATAAAAAAAAAAAAAAAAAAAAATAATTATAAAAAAAAATTGTGCCCATGTATTTTTAATATTTTTCAAGTGTTATTGTAATATAATATATCAGGAGCTTTGCATTAAATTTTCAAGCTTTTTTACCATACAAATAAAATTTTATTGATATGAATAGAAAAAAAATTAAAAAAATTGAAAACTGAAAATGTCCGTAAATAGCTCAAAAAGAATCAAAATATTTTCAAAACTATATGGTGTATAGGAAATGCTAATATAAAAATTTAGTAAAATTTTCAAGTATCTACAGTCATTCGTTTTTTAATTACAACAAAATTAGAAAATCGTTACATGAGAAATCGAGTGAATATCAAATTTTGTAAAAATATGAATTTCAAACGTTCATAAAAATATCATGTATAGAAAATGGAAATATAAATAACCAGTGAAAATTTCATATATCTACGGTCATTTGTTTTAAAGTTACACCAAAAACCAAAATCAATTTTCTCGAAAACAGATTTTGCGTAAAAATTCCCGTTTTTCCTTAATTTTTCTTTTGTTTTTCACGGCGCTTTTGAAAACTACTGTGAAAATTTTGCTTTTGACCCCACCAAAGTACCAACTAGATTCACTTTCCTATCAGAAAAGATACTGTTGAAAAAAATCCAAGCACTTTTACTGTCCTAAAAGATGATGACAGACAAAAAAAAAAAAAATGAATTCGTGATTTCGTAAACAGTTGTCAATATTTGTAATGAAAAGAAAAATTCCGAACCAATAAACCACGATAGTTTATAAATGATTGGTGAAATACTGAAATAAACTGAGGGTGCTAGTTTGAAGCCCTATGTGCGCCTATGTGAGTGGTACAAATATAACAATAAACAAAATGTTTCAATATAAACTAGGTAACTTTAACTGACATTAAGCTAGTACCAAAATGTTTTTATTAAATATAGATTTTTTTATCAAATTCAGATTTTATTAAGATTTATTTATTTTAATTTGGATTTATTTTATTCAATCAAGTTTTAGATTCTGAGTGGAGCGATGAGTATTATTGATATTATTAATATTATATTGATTTTACAATGATATGTGTTTTTATTATTGTTGCAATGTTGCATCTCATAAGGAGTAGGTATAGGTGAAAATACATGTTCTGAACTCGAGTGCTAAAAGCATACTGATTTTATTGTGTCTAAAATACCGATAGCGATACACGCGATAATACATCATAATTACATAACCGTTATTGTAGATAGCAGGTAGGTATCATAGATATTAGCTATGTAACAATTATTTATATTTATATTTATATTTTTTTTGTGCCTTTGCCTGTGTGGCTGTGCCTGCACGCGTAGTCGAAATAAAGCTTCGATTTTCAACGTCAGTATCTTGTTTGATGGGAAAGTGAATCTAGTTGATGCATTGGGGAGGTCAAAATTAATAAGAAATGCATTCTACACTCTTCACCTCACCATGGTCCTATAACTTAATTTCAAGTGATATCGAAGGAAAAGTGCAAATAATTAAATTGCCATTTTACCATTTTATCAAATTACCATAGTTATCAATAATGTTTTTTTGTTGTATACCTACCTTCGAAATGAGAATTTTGGTCAAGACAAAGGTATCATTAGGGTTGGTTGGATGAGTCTTACAAAGATGTATAGGTATATTCATAGGTGGAAATCCATTACAATTTCAGGGGGGCTAACATTATTAACATCAATATGAGCGGGGAGCTTCGATCCTACAAAACTAAAAAAGGAGGGGGCTTGATGAACTTTTGGGGGGGCTAAGCGAATCAACAAAGTACTGAAGTTCGAAATTTGACAAAATTCGTAAGAATCACGAACATTTTCAAATTATAAGCGTTATTCGTATAAGTTCAAATTTTTTCAATATTGGATATCATTTTCTTTATACTTACATGATTAAATTGCATGGAAAATATGTTGACTCTTTTTTAACCATTTATAGATATATCATAAGAAATATAAGAAATATTCGATTTTTCGTAGTTTTTTTTCAAATATTGTCAATAAAAATGTTTTTATTGGTAAAATAAGTTGATAATTGAATACAAGATGTCAAGATCCCACTTTCCCACATAGGCTTTTCTTATATAGCTGTATGCCTGTAGAATAAAGGTATATAAGAATAATAATGAGTCAGGTGATGATGACATTCAACACAATAATTTCAACATTCAAAATACATAAATGGATAACCATTAAATTATATTAGTATGGAAAACCATAAGATATTTAGTATGGATATCCAATATATAAAAAAAAAAACGGCCATTTGGATATCTCTTAAATATCTATGAGTAATGAGTCGTCCAAAACCAACCATTAGATATCATGGATATCCATCCAATATATCTAATGGATAAATATTAGATGTGTATGTGTTGTGTGGGCAACAGTTTAATGATATATTGCTACGAGTATATAAATTGTTTAATTATATATTGTTTTAATTTTGTAAATATTTAAATGTTCCTAGTTCATATGAATTGTTAAATTAACTGATTTTGTCATTATCAAATATAAATTGATATTATTTTATAATTTTAAATTTTCATGCAGAAAGTGACTGTTATCTACTATCAACAATTGTTTAATGATATATTGTTTTAATTTTGTAAATATTTAAATTGTGTAAATGTTCCTATGAATTGTTAAATTAACTGATTTTGTCATAAATCATAATCAAACATAAATTGTTATTATTTTATAATTTTACATTTTCAGAAAGTAACTGCTATCTACTAAAAACAATTATTGTTTAATGATTTATTATTATAATTTTATAATTTTAAATTGTTCAAGTAACCATTTTTAATTGATTGTTTGTTTTTATTTTAAAATATAAAAATTATTACTTTATGGTTATTTGGAATTTGTTATATTTATTTGCATTTGTAAAAAGATTTAAAACTTATCAACTACCGAGTATCTAAATGCATATTTGACATATATGTATTTCAATATATAAGAGAATACATTATGTAATTTCGCAGAAATTTAATTTTTTGCTAAGTTGATATTGTACTCGTAAATAAATAATTCCCGGTTTTATACAAGCTATTGAATATTTAAAAAAATTTATCTGGCGGGAAACCTGACTTTTTTATCATTACTTTTGGTTGTTTACTAGTCTATTTCTAACTGGTTTGTTTCGAAAATTATACTTGGCAACACTGAGTGCTTCAGTCTTTTATGTTATCAATTATCATTAATTACGTTTCTATTTTGCTGCTGGTAAATACTACAATAAAACACGTGAGGTACAACACTGACTGACTGAGGTAATATACCATTAACATTTAACAAGATTATAATATTATTACATTTACTCATACTCATCATTCATGACAAAATACTAAATTATGCGTGTAAATTATGCATTCATACAATTAACTCATAATTGTAATAAATAACAATATAACGTATTTAATATTTTTGATTTATCCAATATAGTAATATACCTATTTTCTATTTTCTTAGGTAGCTAATCTGGACATAAGTTTTGCTTTATTTTCTTAAAATGGCTGTTATTCAAAGAGTTGTGTATGTATTTGACTAAATAATTAAATATCATTGTGTTTAATTGAAATCATATTTTCATAGGAAACCGAGAACAAAACGAGGTAAAAGAATTTTGTTAAAAAAAGAACCCAAGATTATAGAAAACACAAAAAATTGTGTGTTTATTCCTGGTCGTAAATCATCTTTATTAGTCAGCAGCTGCATGAAAGATTTGGTAAGTGTAAATCGAATAACGATGAATGATTTAATTTATTAGTAATTTTCAATAGCTGAAACTCAAAAAGCCAGATGCTGTCATGTTAACTCAAAAAAACGATGTTCTACCATTTGACGATGCCGTGCAAATTGAAAAATTATTGCAGAAGCATGATGCATCTCTATTTTTTTTTTCATCACACAATAAGAAAAGACCAAACAATTTGGTACTTGGTAAGTAATAAGTGACATACTTAAAAAATGTAAAATTGTACATTAAACTTTGTCTCAGTAAAATATTGTCAATTAACACATTGAGTTACGTATTTTTTTTGACTTTCTTCAGTGAGTACATAATATAATAGGTTCTATAAAATAGAAACTACTCCTCATAAGGTGAATGTCATATTTTTAATTATCTATTAAACTATACTATCCAATGATGAAAACTTTTTCAACCACCCATACAAAATAATAAACAATTTACTTTAATTGTATATTTGATGTTAATGCGTCGGAACTCAGTTAACTGTTAAAATTATCTCAATGGGATACAATGTTATTTTAATTTTTAAAAAACAATCATAACATTTAATTTCAATTGATTGACTTCAAGACTATTGTTATTTATTGTATATAAAATGTTTCGGCATTTAAACATAAATAATATGTATTCTAAATTAGTAATTACATACATGTTTTTTGTAATAATAAGGCATTGGGTATTTGGGTATAGACGTGTAGTTAACGCATGCATCCTATGATAAATGTTTTATTTTTTTGATAATTAAATTCCATATTACTTTTAAAATATTTTAAATACATACTTCAACAATTGCTTTACACTAAGCCATAACCATGATTAACTAACATAACATAATTATTTGTTTTACAGGCCGTACTTATGACCAACACATATTAGATATGTTTGAATTAGGTATTGAATCATACAAAGGGTGTAGTGAATTCAAAGGTTTATCTGAAATCTCAGCTGGTGTAAAACCAGTTTTGGTTTTCTTAGGTGAACAATTTGACAGTGATCAACAACTAAAACGTGTACGCAATCTATTTATTGATATGTTTCAAAGGCAACCACTCAAACAGATAAGACCAAATGGTATTGAGCATGTCATGTCTTTCACAGCGGTTGATAGTAAAATACTATTACGTTCTTATAGGTAAGTCTTGATACAATCTTCTACTTACTTTACTACTTTAACTCTTTTATCTTCTATTGACAGAGTAAAATACTTAATGTTTTTTTTTTTTTTTTTTTTTTTTTTTTTAATTAGGACAGTTTTGACAAAAACCAGTTTAAAAACCCCACGTGTTGAGCTCCGTGAAGTTGGTCCATCTGTTGATTTTGTAGTGAGAAGAGATCATATGGCTAGTGCTGATCTATTTAAAACTGCATGCAAAAGACCCAACCTTAAGGTATACACATATTTTTAGATGTATTTTTTTTTCTGTAGTACTATACAGAAATGTATAGTTTATTAGTTTGTATAATATAACCTAAACTTATGTTTTTATATTTAGGGTAAGAAAATCAAGAGTGTACGTCGTGACAATTTCGGATCTAAATTGGGTCGTCTGCATATGACTAAGCAAGATGTCAATACATTGCAAACAAGGAAAATGAAGGGTTTGAAGAAAACATACGCTGAGAGGAAAATGAAAAGGAAGAGTGATGAAGTTAAAAATGGCCCAGCAGTTAAAAAACCTAAGGTTGCAGCTCAAAGTAAAAAATTGAAGAAATTTAGTAAAAAAGGAAGGAAACTAAGAGGCGGACAAGTTTAACAATTTTTTTTTTAATTTTTATAATTTATCTATAATAATAAGAAATACAATTTAAAAAAAAAAAATCATTGTTATTAAACTTTAAAAAAGATAAATGTATAACACTACTTTTCTGTGCATATTAACCTTGATAATATGATTAAGCACATATTTTGTAGTTGGATGATGAGCAAAAAAATAATATGTATGGCAAAATTATGTGTTTAACATATAACTTTAAGAGGAACAGTCATGTTGCGTATAGTTCTTACTGCAATTAATTTTGAACATTCTGTGGATACAGCCATCCAACTATACTTGCCAATAGGAAATACTTCTTCCAATGTCTTTTGAAAAGTGACCAATAATGATAAACATAACCCATCATTAGAACCTTCCGGTTGGCCACAATGTTCAATGCTCAATACTCCGTGCGGTTTATGCAGAGCTACGTCAGCACCAAATATTTCCTAAAAACATGATAATAATTAATAATTATAATAACTCACATTGCACATGTAATAAATTGTGTGCAATTACAGTCATAAACTTGCGTAATGTTGAATGCAAGTTCCGATTGTGGTTGATTTCACACATCGGGAAATGGGCTTGAGTTTTTTCTGACATAAGTACATATAATTTACCACTGAAACAAATAGAAAACCATTAATGAGGTAGGTATTAAATGAAATTGGTACTTTTAACCCACCTAGTTTTTTGTCTAGCACAGATAAGAAGACGTAACAAAAGTTTTTTATGAGGTTTAATAACAGGTAAAAGATTATGGTGCCAATCACTTCGAACCTTATGCTTAGCTACTTTATGAAAAGCTCGACCACAATCAATCAATGGTATTATATCATTGGAACGGAGAGTAACCTAAAATTGAAAAAATATGTTAATAATTCATTGCACTTCCATACTTGACTTGATTGTCATACTTCAGAAATATTTTTAATCCATTTGGCTTGTAGAGATTCACTATCAGCTTGAGCTGGTGTTTTCAAACAACCGCCAGTAACATTTCCAGTGAAAACAAATCGAAACCATGCTTTAGATGCAGCTTCAACAATCAACAATGTTTCAAGTTCCATTTCCAACCCTGTTTCTTCTAAGCATTCTCTTTTTACGGCATCCTATAAAGTACCACATTTTTATTTTTGTCAATGCTCAATGTCTAATTGAATTTGGTATGTGTAACAGACATTTAAATTTTCCCCAGGTTCAACGCGACCTGCTGGTAGGTACCATTGACCAGCACAAGTACTTTTTGCTTCTTGCATCATAAGTACTTCATCCTCGCTGTTGACTAGTACTACTAGCACAATATATGTAACTGTACTTTTTGTGACTGGTATATAGTCAGAAGGCCCAATGGGTGTTACACCCTTAGCCACTAAAAACATAAAAGTTTGTGGATTTTAGTGAACCGTATACAATTAGTGTACTATACAATATGCTATTAATGGCCAGTAGCAACTAAAAAGTTTTTCTCCCTCCCCACTTTTTTTTAATAATATACATTATGTTATGAATATATTAGATATCTTGGTAATAAATCAAGTGTAAAATCGTCAAATAATGGTTGTACAATAATTCATACACTTTAAGGCTTAAATTAATGAAAGGAAGTCAGTATGTCACAATCTTTCAAACAATCAACTACCCAATTATTATACAGCAAACCCTCAACCTTTCCAAGTATTTTACGACGTACAATTGTGTCGACAACAATAATTTTTAATTATAGAACACTATCAAACAATGTCATTACCGCAAGCTTCGTTTTGATCGGCCAGCGTGAAGTCGCATAATTCATCATTTTCGTCCAAAGCTTCGCCACGCAACAACTTCATAACCGTTGCATCTAACATTGCCATCGTGTACACGTCGATCGTTCACCGCAGTGTAAAGCGTTCTCAAAACGAAATATTATGATAAATTATTATGACATACGTGGACACTCGTCATGGGGGCCGATGAACAGAGAAACTGATTTCCTATCAAAAAGAGAAATCGCTGGACTACGTAGCGCTCGGGGGATGATTTACACGGTTGTCAAACGGCCTTGGACCGAATACCAGAGGTATGCGGACAGGTAGTGTCTAGGGGTGCAGTGAGCGCTCGAATACCTCTTCGCGGTCGTCTTGGTCTGGTATTCGATCCATTGTCATCGTAGTTTGCTATATACTCACTGCTGCGTCATACGTGTACAATGTACATACCATAAAATCATGTCTTCATATTCAGAGTTTTAGTGTGATCGACGTGATCTTCAACGATAACGCCAATAACGGAGGAGTAGGAGAAAAATAAGTAAGAATTAAGAAGGGGTTTAGTGGTCAGATAGTATGTACAGTACCATCACAGAGTACCATATGGCATATACAGTACATCAGTAAGTTGTGTATCAGTATGAATAATATGATGTATTGATGTGCGTTCAGTGCTCATAATTCAGATAGGTACTCAGAATTTACATCTTCAGATTCCATAAACGTGATAACAGTAATTCGATTTTTGGAAGATCAGACGCATAAATATCTTATATCACCATAGAATCATGACCAAATGCACAGAATAAAAATATCAGTGATAAATAAAACGTTTTATGGTTTCATCCTTGATAAATATTATATATCTTATCTTTAATTTGTGCACCAGACAGGATATTAATGATATCATAAAATATGGACAACAGACAATTTTTCCGAAATTCAGAGAATGTATAAAAATTTGTGATATTCTTTAAGATACAATAAATTATGGATACAATGGTGTGAGATCTTCCCTTTTCTTTCATAATAATAACTCCATCATGCAATTAGTCGCTTAGAGACCTAACTCTTATCTCGGGGACCCAACTGTCCCCATCCCGTGCAGTCAATTTGAAAACGCTATAAGTTATATCTACAAGTTACAACAGTGCTACAACATATTTTTCACTGTGGCGACACTGTAACGCTAATAAATTGTATTCAAACCGTCCGTTACAAATTCTGTGTCTCTGCGATAGACCATGGACATATAATAAAACGCAATTAATAATTATTATTTATTTTCACTATTGAAATTTCGACGTATAGACGTATAGTTCATAGGTAGGTATTAATAAAAGTTAAACAGATAATAATTAAAAATTTAAAACATTTTTCTGTAAACCAGTTGAATAATGCTCGTTTATCATTGTTATAATTAATCTTTAGAAATTTAGAGACCTAAGAGTTGTAAAGAGAGGTTGTTCGTTGTTCACATATCACGGCCGACATTTTGAGAACATTTTAAACTAGCTATAGAAGTCACTAATCAGTAGGTAGGTACCTACCAATTTTCCAGTGGCAAGTACTGGAATATTGCTTTTAGCAAAAGTACCAATGTTAAAAGTTTATAAGCTTATTCATAATTGAATGTGTTTTTTTTAAGGCATGTCGAACATTGTAGAAATTCCGGATCCCCGATCGCCTACTGTAGCTTTTGTCAGAACTCCGTTACGAGTAAGTTCACTACTTCCTGTATTTTAAAAATAATTAATTAAAACGTTATTACTTTATTTGTTAGTTGCCCTATCGTCGGAACAACTGCACTTAATATATTTTTAAATTTTATTTTGCAAACCTGTTGGCTAATATATATTATATTTTCACACCTAGAATTAACCTAAGAATTACTCACCTTTTATTGATTTCATTATAATGAATAAAACCCGATATGAAATTTATTCCTAAAATCATTCATAAGAAAAAAATTTGTACCTAATTTGATACCCATAATATCAACCAATATGCGATTTAAACCCATTTGTAAAATTTGACTATTTTGGATAATCATTTGGTTATTTTTTTTATTAGGTCTGGTAAATATTATCTTAAATACCGATTTGTTATAATAACATTTATAAATATAATAATATAAAAACCATTTGTGTTTTAAATTTATATTGCTCCATTATGGTCAAAATTACCAAGTTGCGACCCGCATAATATAATAAGACTTTTTAATCAAGTAGGGTTTTTGTGATAAATATTTTTATTTATATAACCATTAACAGGTGGTGAAAATGATAATCGACGAAGAAAATATATCGACAGAGACACGAATAAACAACGAAGTATTTGAAAACGCTTTGTCTGGAAATCTACTGATGTCATCACCAATTGTCAGTAACACTTTTGATACAGATGATTCATTCCATTCAGCAGTTGGTGAAAATGATATTGAACCTCTGATAAGCAGTACGGACTCTAAAGGAGTGAAAGACAGTAATAAGAAAAATAGGAGAGCACTGGGGTGCATTAAAAATCGTCTGATTGAAACACCGAAGACGGACATGCGTCGTAAACTTTGGCGTAACATGGAGGATGAAAGAGTAAAAAAAGGAGTTAATAATGGAATTGAAAATACACCACCGTTACCCTTTAAGGACTTGACTGCTTCAGCTCCTCCAAAATTATATAGACACCGCAAGTTTACATAAGTTTTTTATTTTTTAATATTTAATTAAATTTTGATTTATATCACTATTCACCATATAATTTTCGATTTGTCATTAAACTATATCTTTACTTTTTTCCATTAATCTAGTAGCATAAGATGAACTGATGTTAACCACTCTCACTTTATTTACAAATTGAATTTTTTTACATCAATATTTGTAATATACCAGCACATGTACATTTTTTATGCCTTAAAGTCAACATAATTATTAAGGTTATCATGTATTTTTTTTTAATGTAATATATAATATTATTTAATATAATTATTATTCTATATTAATTTAGTTAAAATCAATGAAATGTTATTTTAGTGTGTAATATGTTTGGGTTAATATTTTTCAACACATACCTAAGTTAAAATTAAGTATGGTGGCATATTCAAATAAAATTACCACTGGCTCTACTCTACTCGCTTAATACTGCAACAACTTAAGTGTGCAAAGTGAAAACACAATGAGTATTACCAAGAATGGTAGGTAGACTTACACAAAAAAAAAATACTTGAATAATCCTTGGTGTCTTTGCAATCCTTAAAATGTATTTGACACCTACAAGGTTGTTTAAAATACATAGTTTAATCAGAGCATAATCTCAAATGATCATGAGGTAATTTCTTCTTTGTTAATACGCTTATTTTAATTCTATACTAATATAATATAGATTAGATTCAGTGGAATGGACACAATTTGTTTGTGTGAGTAATTTTTATTTTATATTTAATTTAATGGAAGTAACTAATTGTTTAAAATCTAAATACTTACTAATATCTGTTACTTAGGCATCAATAAAAAGTAAAATACAATACCGGTTGGTTGTTTACATAATAATATATATATATATTTGATTTAATTAAAAAAAAAAATTTATCTCCACTTATATGATAGCAAATACTTTGATGATAGTTTATTGGATTCATTCTGGGTATGTATGTTGTACAATATATCGACAACAGCTGTAAAATGGATTTATATTCTGTTGGAATTTAACAATAATTGCATTTAAAAGCCTAATTAGTAATTTATATAAATTGGTTGTCAATAATTAAAATAGTAGCCAAACTTAAGTTATATTGATGTTTGCACAGTTTTCAAGTCAGTTATAACTGAATTTTCAGAAATTTCTTATTTCTTTGTTTTCCAACTTAAATACATAATATTATACTTTTTTTTGTTTCAAACTTGTGAGGGTTTAGCCTGTTTAAGTCATAATATAATACTTTATATATTTTATATTATGTACTCAAGACAATTTGGAAGAATACATTTTGAATAAGTATTGCCAAATAACACAATTCTGAATTATTTTGGCAAGTTAATTGATTGCAATAGAAGTTTAATATGAACTACTTATAAGATTCTTTATTTTTGTTGACAATAAGCTACACAAAAATCTATAACTAAATTTAAGCAATTATATATATTTATTATTATTATTTTACATATAATAGAATAATAATTGTTCGTATTAGAAGTACACGAAAACCATTGGACTGTATTATAAAATGAAATATTTTATAAATTAGATAGTTAAATTTAATCATTAATATTGATTTTCCATGGAGTTACACATAAAGAATATGATAATTATTAAGATGAAGACGGAAGTACTTGTATGTGGAATTTACATGACGGCATTCTAACTATTTCAACTGTTACAATGCTTGAAATTCCAAAATTTTCTAGAGCTCCTCGAATCAGACCGCATGTAAACGTTGCATACTATAAAAATATTATGCAAAAGTAATTAGAATAACAATGTTTAACAATATAATTAACGTTTATATATTTTACACAATTTACTTTGGGTGCAGATTTAAGGTACTGTGTTCCATTTGACAGTTTGCTGAAAAAGCGAAAATCGTTGTCATGCAATACATAGACACCTTGATGATTGGTTCGTAAATTATCCACCTGCTTTTTATACACGCATGACCAAAAGTCTGTACATATAAATTTTAAAACTTCTAGCTCTTCTTTGTACCTTGGCAGTTCTTTTGTTATTCTAAGAAGAAAGGGGGCAGTTTCACAAAAATGCCTAATAGTTATAGATAATACGTAATACAATTTACCTTTCAATCAGTCGCCAACCACATGAATAACCCAAGTGTTCTAATATCGATAAATCTTCATCCTGTATGAACAATAAATTAGCTGTAGTAATTCGGACGAAAGTATACTTTATTCAGTTCAAATGTAAAAAGCATTAAATTGTATTATTTTAGGCGTTATGAGTACGATAATTACCTCGGAGGACTTGGACACTAAGTACGATACAATTTCCGAGTGTAACATGTCGAATAGAACGTCTTCAGCAGACATTTCTCTACAATTATTTTAACAAGAACCAAATTCTATTTAATGCTGTTTCGCAATGCGCTGTGGATAGTCTGCACTGCACTCCATGTAACCGTACACAATTGTTGGCATTTAACACTGGAAAGTGACAAAGTAACGACGGAAGATTTAAATCACTAAATTCGTATAAAATCTTGATCAATTGAGTCAGTGGAGATGCTTATTCTATTCTTTACAAGACGTACAATTGTACAAATTACTAATTAGTTATATTACAATTTACAAACAATATAACCCAAGGTTTAAGATAATAAAATCGTGATACTACCACAGTTTTCTGTGATACTACCTATCACAGGTATTCACTTGATCAGCTGTGGTGATATGAATCGCGGACATTATTTGAATTTATGATAAATTAATAATGATAATTATTAAATCCAACCCCCCCTACTGTTTTCGGCCAAGTAGGACATTTTCTCAACGATATATTTTTGATGTGCACATTTCTCCCTTATTTTTTCTTAAAGTTTACTATTTAATATGACGTATTTTTGATCAACTGAATTATTGTTTGAATGAAATTCAAAAGCGATTATCATGAACACATCCATACTGGTAAATTATAACAAAAAGAAAAAAAAATATTAACATAGGCTAAAAAAATATGTGTTTGTTGTTTGTAAATAATAAAAGAATCAGTAATCAAATATTTTTTACAAATATATTATTTTAGATTCTGAGTGAAACAATGAATGCATTGATTTTACAATAATGTGTTTTTTTTTTAATTTTAATATTTTTTTGTGTCTGTCGTCACGTTTTAGGACAGTAAAAGTGCTTGGATTATCTTCAACAGAAGCTTTTCTGAAAGGAAAGTGAATCTAGTTGGTACTTCGGGGGGTCAAAAGTGTTTTATTTCCCAGTAGTTCTCAATAGCGGCGTGAAAAACAAAATAAAAATTAAGGAAAAACGGGAATTTTTACACTAAAATCTGTTTTCGAAAAAATCGATTTTGGTTTTTGGTGCAACTCTTAAACAAATGACCCTATAGATACATGAAATTTTGACTGAATATTTGTATTAACATTTTATATACACGATAACATTTTCAAAATGTATTGATTTATATTTTATTTTGAACTGTTTAGGCACATTTTTATATTCCATTTTTTTTTAGTTTTTTCTAAAAATATCAATAACATTTTATTTGTTGATTAAAAAAGTTTGAAAATTTAATACAAGGCTATATCTATATTGTTACAATGGCATTTGAAAAATATAAAAAATCCTTAGTCACAGTTTTTTTTTTATAAGCATTTAAAGTTCAAAAATTGACAAAATATGGAAAAATCACGAAAATTAGCAAATTATTTTGAGTTAATAATTCGTAAAAATTTTTCTTTTTAAATCTAAGGTTTTAAAATGTAATACAAGATTCCTTATATGATTATCTACATACCTTTATCAAAAAAAAAAAATTGTCTATAAGAAAGTCAAATTAAATTTTTATGAGAGTTTAAAATTCAAATTTTTACAACATAGGATATTCACTCGATTTCTCATGCAGCGATTTCTTTATTTTATTGTAATTCAAAAACGAATAACTGTAGATACATGAAAACTTCACTGAATGTTCAGATTAGCATTTCCTATACACCATACAATTTTGAAAATATTTTGACTCTTTTTGAGCCGTTTACGGACATTTTCAGTTTCCAATTTTTGTAGTTTTTATTCTATAAATATTAATAAAGTTTTATCTGTTGGGCCAAAAAGTGTAAAAATTTAATACAAAGCTCCTGATATATTGTTACAATATCAGTTGAAAAATATTAAAAATACATAGGCACAATTTTTTTTTATAAGCATTTAAACATCGAATTTTGACAAAATTCATCAAATTTAAAATTGAATAATTATTTTGTAGTTAAAAATGTATAAAATGTTTAACTTCAAAATCTAAGGATTGAAAATTTAAAACAAGGTTCCACTTAAGTAGTTAATTCTGTTACCAAAAAAACTAAAAAATACATAGGCACAGTTTATTTTTATAGTCATTTTAAGTTCAACTTTGGACAAAATTACATAAAAAAAACCTAGAATAACTATTTTAGTTATTTTGTTGTAATAACTTTTTTGGTTAAATTTAGTATGCGATGAATAATTGAAATAGAAAACAAGAATACATTGCAGACCACAAATATTTCTGTAAAAGAACACACAATTTATCAATAGACCGTTTATGTACTGAGTGTAGAAGTTCTATGGATTTATCATATTAAAAAATATATTTTATATAATCTATGGCAATCGCCAATCGTCGACATTCGTCTGCGAGGATTAACAATTCTAATAATTTTAGTGAAAAAAAAAAAAAAACCATCAATATGGACAGATAGTTCGTTAAACCGTATATATTATTATGTAAGTTTTAACACGAATTCGCACATTTCGTTATGTTCAGGTGATTTTCATAAAATATTTGATAATTTCAAGTAACAGTTCGGAACGAGATGAAGACGGATGAAGATAGCTGTTTCTTCGGTGGCTTCACGTACTGGACGTTTGCATTGTTGATGCACTCTAGCTAGGTTTCACCGGAAGAGTCGATGTTTCAGCGTAAGTTTGTTTTCATCATTTCATATTATTTTGGGATTTACGTTTTATTTTTAGGCATTTTTATAATTAAAAACATAATATAACGTAATGTTGTAGTAGAAGCTGGAAACTGTAGTACCTATAGTCTAATTAATAATCCAATTAATGGAATTTTTTGAATTTTTTAAATTTTAATGTAACATTTATTATGCCTACACAAAACACTTACCTACCAAAATTGAATTTTTCACAAAATTGGTTGTTTTAACGATAAATGACAATTTTAGTTCCCCATTATGGTGAAAGTATTTGATACAAACAAAAAATTGTTCGAAAATACAATTTCCTATATTATTATTTACTAAATACAAAAAAACTTAAAAATAAAACTATGATCATTGATTACATACAGAGTACCTATAATATATTATGCATGGAACACGAAGGTCGAATTTGACTACCTACTTATCGTGTACACATCAAACACAACAAAGAAATAATAAAAAAAAATTAAAAATTAAATACACATCTTAGTAAAATCAAAATATTCATCGTTCCACTCAGAATCTAAAATACAAATTATAGGTCCCCGATACATTTAAAATTTTCATAATATTGAATAATAATTAATAATTTTGTGATCAGCGGTATTCGTAGAAAATGTTAGATTTGAAATTTTAGAATCTAGTTGGTATTATAGCCGATACTGTACATTTGATGAATTTACTGAGTACCTATACCTTTATGTTACCTACAATCCAGTAATCACATTTTTATGTAATGATTTATAAAATACAAGAAGCTTTTATAGAAATATGTTTGTACTTCTGCAGATATCTATTCACCATATTAATAAATAATTAAATTAATAAACGAAAATAATAATTCAAATAATATATCATATTTGATACCTATTATTATAATTCAAATTAAAAATAAAAAACTATTTTGATTTATTGTCATATCAAATTTCAACGAACAAATAATTTTTCCTTAACACGGAACGGTTTGATATAAAAAGTTGCATTATATGATATCCATGGATTCATCATATTGACGTACCTGGTACAATATCTACCATTATTCATTTAAATTCCATGGCAAATCTCAATCATTGCAGCAGACACAATCGTCATTAAAAATTCCAAAATTTCAACAAGCAAAGCAGATATGAGCAAAAAACTTACTGCGTTCCTTATAATTTTAATTTTCAAAAATCACAATATTTTAAGTTTTGTATTCTCTGGAGCGTTTCGTCATCGGCGTCACACGCATCACGGATTTCGCCGAAAGAGTCGATAATTAAACTATTAAAGTAAGTTTTTTTTTCATATTCTTCCGGGGTTTAATTATACTTTCATTTTTTCTAAAATATATGGTAAAAAATAAATCATATTTCGCTATAATAAAATAATAAAACATAAAGTATTTTAAATTTGAGTGGAATAATTTTTTATGATCATAACCACATTGCCTACAGATTATTAAGCATTAGTACAGCAGTAGTTTATAGTCATTTTTGCCCAAAAAATTACATTTAAAAGTGTCATCGTGTATTCGTGTATATAAATTATAATAATATACTCTGAGGGCCGTTCTTACAATGTCCGGTAAAGTGTCGGTTAACGCTAACCGATTTTATTACCTGCAGGATTATACGGGTTATGTGTAGGTTAAATTTAACCGAACATTGTAAGAACGGCCTTAAAAGTTTTATGAATCCACGAACACCTACTATTTTTAAATTACAACAAAATAACTTTTTGTCAAATCAACTTCCAAAAACCTAAAGATACAATCTAGCAACTCTGACACTTACAGATCGATTATAAAATACTTAAAAGAGTCTAAAGCTGAATACCACACATTCCAGGCACAGGAAGACAAATCCTTCCGTATAGTTGTTAGAAATTTGCATCCGTCTACCCCAACAGTTGATATAGGTATTGCAATTCAGGAAATTGGATACACAGTTCGTAGTGTTACAAACGTTTTACACAAAACCACAAAAAATAAACTTCCGATATTTTTCGTTGACTTAGAACCAGCTGAGATCAACCAAGACATTTTTCATCTAAACTCGATACTTAACACAAAGATTAAAATAGAAGAACCGTACAAAAGACGGGAAATTATCCAGTGTATAAACTGCCAAGAGTACGGTCACTCTAAAACTTATTGTGCATATCCCTCAAGATGTGTTCGCTGTAACTCCAACCACTCAACTTCAGCTTGTAACAAGACCAGCGATCTGCCACCTGTATGTGTACTCTGTGGGGGCGCTCATACTGCAAACTATCGTGGATGTCTAGTTCACAAGAATCTGCAGAAACTCCATCACAGCAAATCCAATTCAAACAATAAATTCAACAAAAAAAGTAATATTAACTATAGTAATATTGTAAAGGGGGAAGGCGTTAAAA